TTTAAACGGTGAAATTTTTATTTATTTTTTTTACACCCGCTTCCCAGATAGCACCCTCCCATAGCCTCCCTCCCCCGACTAGAGCCCTTATACTCTGATATCCCTGCTACTGTCTGCTGTGTTGTCGGCACCCCCAGCCATTCCCCACTACTTGCCCTTCTGGTGAATCTAGTCAGCCTCTCTAGAGGTCTTTGTTTTAGGAGGGTCAGCTGTTCCTCATAATTAGCAGTAATCAGTTGTCAATATTCCTTTGGATAAGATTGGGGTCTGCTGTTCATTTTCCCAGATCTGTGCTGGGTCACTATCTGGGAATCCCTTTGGCCGCCCGGCCAATTTAATAATTTTATCAAATATGTACATGGAAATAACATTTGTTTTTAGCTATAAATATTTATTTATTATTTCTATTTTATGTATATGTGTGTACTGCCTGCATGTAGGTAAGTGCACCTGTGTCGTGGAGGACAGAAGAGGCTGTCGGATCCCCTGGAACTGGAGTTAGGATAGTTGTTAGCTGCCATGTGTGTGCTAGGATTCAAGTCCAGGTCTTCTGCAAGAACAGCCAGTGTTCTTAACCCCTGAGCCATCTCTCCAGGCCCGAATCAATAAATGTTTTAAAAAAGAATACTTTCAAAATAATCTTAGTAAATCTTACAAATGAATAGAATATATTTCTAGGACAAAATATCTTTAAATCATAATTTAACTGACACCTAATAATTATACATACTTTTCAATACAGTCACATATTGGGTAATTAAATCAGGATAACATAGTATATACATCACTTTAAATGTTTATCGTTTCTTTGTGGCAATGATATTCAAAAGCCTCTTTACTGTCTATTTAAAAAGATACAACACATGATTGTTAACTATAGTTACCCTACTCTGCTATAATAAAACACCAGAATTTGCTTTCCCTACCTAAATATAAAGTTGTATATTTTGAGCAGCCTCTCCTGGTCTCCCTAACACGCCCTGCCTTCCTCAGTCATTTGCAATGTTTATTCTAACTTTAATTTCAATGTGACTATTTTGAGATAGCATAATATCTGCCAAGTGTTTGCTTTCTTTTTTAATTGTAATGGTGTAAAATGTCCTAGGCAATTTACATATATGAGTTCTTTAATTATCATGCTAGGTGAATATTGCCATGCCCGTTCCATATCCAAGCCCACTTCCCCTAAGGGAATCTGAGCAAGTGGCCTGATAACTTGCACAACTGCTCTTCAGGGAACCTGGCTCTGTCCCTATTACCTCACTGCCAGAGTTTCTGATCAGCTTTAAAGAAGGGAGACATCTTTGAACCACAGCACTAGGGAGTTAAGGATGTCCTGGGGCTGGGACTTGCTGAGGTGAATTTCCCTGGTTCCCGCTGATGCATGTGGTGAGTGCTCAGGCTCTTGATCTCCCCGCCCTGACTCCTGAAGCAGCTTAGGACAGAATCACCTCCATCCCAGCTTGAACTTCTCTAGATTTTTTCCTACTCAGTGGTCCCCATCCTACCGTCTTGAACACATGAGGCAGAATGCAAGGAGGCATTTTTTAATCTTAAAGACAGAGACAGGTAATCACAGGTGAAGTAGTTCTTCCTTTGTGTTATTTTGGGTTCCTCATGCAATACCTGGATCTTGTTAAATGTTCATCTAATCATTCGGAACTGCTTGTTTTCCTGATTGCCTCACAGGTACGCTGTGGATATCAGTGAGGCAGCGATGAGGGAAGAACAGCATGGATAATAATCAGGGAAAGTCACTGATTTCTAAGAGAATTCCTAAGAAAGGAGAGAGTGGGGAATGAATACCAACACTTGTTTCTCCAAGCTCATCATAAGCACTCAGACCCCTTCTCTAAAGTAGACAGTTCCATCGCTGTCCTTAACAATAAAGAAACAAATATGCACAAGAGCAAGTGAAGAGGCACTGAGCATAGACTCACCTGCCACCTGCCCATCTCCAGTGTGGGATTCATTGAGCATAGACTCACCTGCTACCTGCCCATCTCCAGTGTGGGATTCACTGAGCATAGACTCACCTGCCACCTGCCCATCTCCAGTGTGGGATTCATTGAACATAGACTCACCTGCCACCTGCCCATCTCCAGTGTGGGATTCATTGAACATAGACTCACCTGCCACCTGCCCATCTCCAGTGTGGGATTCATTGAACATAGACTCACCTGCCACCTGCCCATCTCCAGTGTGGGATTCATTGCCAACATTCTCTGCTTTCTGCTGACTTTTCCTGTTATTATCCTATGCTATGCTGCTTATTTTTCATCTTAAAAGTGAAATTATCTCCTTTATAGCCTCTCAACTTGAATTTTCTTGTGAAACACATTCTAAACTCAGGAGAATGGCTGTGTTAAGAGCTCTTTCAGGAACACGTGCCTCTGTAGAGAGAAGGGGTGAGAAAGATGCAAAATTGCGAAGAGGATAGAAAACATCAACAGAGAACAAGCAAGGACTGAGAAGCAAAAAGGAGATTTGTTTCCAGCATCTGCCAAGATGGGTCTCTTCACAATCAAATTACTTGAAGGCAGACAAGATACAGGTGCAGTGAGGTGGAGGATTCAACAAAGCAGGGCAGGAGGAAGAACTGCTCAGTCCAGAAGGAGACTAATACTTAGTCCATTTAAGTAACTAAAAGTTGAGGTTGGGGTTGTAGGGGTGTAGGGAGGGGTTGAGGAAGCAGCATAGAGGCATAATAAATCAAGAAACATCTCCCAAGTCCCCCGACATAGCACATCCTGATGTGTGTGATAGCTTTGATTTGTCCCTGAACCTCTCCACCTAACTTTCAGTACAGTTTACCACAAAGACCTTTCCCTAATCTGATATCTGCCAAGTTAAACTTCATTAGAGAGTGATAAGCACCAGGAACTGATGTGCAGATCATCAATGAAGGCTTTTCCTTTTGTTTCCTATAATTTTTCATGAAATATTAGAAAAGCAGTTAAAATTATTTTAATATCCCAGTGTATCAATAGTTTTCATTTTATCCACATCTTATTTCAATGTTTGACAAAGTACTATCTTATATACCTAGTGTGACAGTAAATTTTTGCCCTACCGGGCATGTCCAACCTTTTGACATTGTGACACAGCATTGTTATCCCCAAAGTCCACACCTGAGAACTGTGAAATCCACACACAAAAGAAAACCATAATAATAATCTTGTCATATTGTGAGTTTTCAATTTTGTGTTGGCTCATGTGTATGGTTATCCTCAGTGACATGCAGCCCATGGACAGTAGGTTTTCATGCCTGCAGTATACACCCAACTTCTCCATTTAACCTGGAACGTTCTGGTGGGCCTCAGGTCTGAGCTGAAATGTTACCTCCCAAGGAAAGTTTTCCTTGCCTATTTTTTTTTTTGTATGAGTGTATTGTCTGCATGAAATTACACTTATGTTGTGCAATGCCCAGAGAAGTCAGAAGAGAGCGTCACATTCCCCTAGAACTAGAGTTGCAGCTGGTTATTAGAGTTACAGATAGTTGTTAGCCACCATGTGGGTATTAAGAATTGAACCCAGGTCCTCTGCAAGAGCAACCAGTGCTCTTAAGTGCTGAGATACCTCTCTAGTCCCTGCAAGGAAAACTTTCCTTAACTTTTAAAAGGAATAGAAATTTCCTTCTAAGTATCTTTCACAGTCTATTAAACTTTCCATTTCTAGAATGAGGACTTCATGATATTTAATGATTGTATTTCAGTATTAGCAAGAGATGTGCTCTCTGTGCTTTCTGATTGAAAGTTGCAGAGCTTTCCTGATTAGGGCCAGGACTCCATGTTGCTTATACCCCACATAGGGACTGTCAGAGAAGAGTGCTGATTGGCTATACATCAGAGAGGAGCTTAATAGCAAGGAGAAGGGAAAAATGACATCTCTGTTGCTGAGGAAGTTCAACAGTGGCTGAAGGTTCACAGCAGAGAAGGTAAAAAGGGATTTTCAGCAAGTGTAAGAACTAGCTTTGCACATGTGTAAATAGGTAAGCAGGTGTGTGTGTGTGTGTGTGTGTGTGTGTGTGTGTGTGTGTGTGCAAGTGAGTTGAAAACTACTTTGAAAAGTCCTTTGAATTTTCTCTGTCCAAGATGCCCTTGTTACTGTGCTTCCCAGACAACACCCCACTCACTCTAAACAGGTGTTTTTATCATCTGCTGATAACGTTTCCTGCCCAACAAAACATTTCTTGATCTGTTTAGATTCTTCACATCATTGCTGTAGGGATGTGTCCGCGACAGAAAGACATCCCAATAAATAAGGTAAGCAACTTTTGAAGATTGTCGGTCAGGAGACTGTGGATATCACCATCACAGTATTTTCATGAACCGTAAAGTACAGATACAGATTGGCCAGTCGGGGTTCCTGCTTTCTCCTCAGTCACTCAGTCGTCTGCACACAGCCTTTCTAGTTGCTTCCTAGGTCTTCAAACCTTGGAAAGTCTGAGCTCAGCAGGTGTCCAGTCGCTTTTCTGGTTCAGTCCTCCTGTTGCTGCTTCTGCCAACGTTCAGTGCTGTGATCCCAGCCTTGCGTTGATCCTCTGTTAATCACATACCCATTCACTAGATACTTTAAGCTGTTCTGTCTTATCAGAAACATCTATTCACTATTCCAAACACTAATCTATGCCTTACTGCTGAGAGTAGTTTGCATATTGGTCTACCCAGTAGCTTTCCTCAGCTAGGCATGGCCACACAATAACAAGACAGTCCTTTCCCTCGTAGCTGTGCTAAAGTACTCTGCGGTTTAGGTGCATACTTTTATAGATCAGTCTACAAATTCCCCATGAGAGAGAGCCTGGAACCCCTTCACAGTGACAAGGTCTGCATAGGGATCATCTGTCAATTTTCAGAAATGAACTATTTGATTACAGGACTCAAAATTTGTTTTCTTCTTCCTTGTCTATAATTTCTATTGTTTTTCACATCGTAATGCAATCTCATTAGTTTGTTTCTAATTTTTGATGTGGCATTGACCCCGTGGGATGACATTTCAACATGAAGAGTTCCAATAACTCTGTGGGGCTCTTACCTGCTACATTCATTTTGGTTGGCATCCCGGGGCTGGAGTCAGAGCACATCTGGATATCCATCCCCTTCTGCCTGATGTACATCATCATCTTCCTTGGGAATGGGACAGTTCTTCATGTCATCAGAACAGATGCTGCCCTCCACCAGCCCATGTATCTTTTTCTTGCTATGCTGGCCTTGGCTGAGGTTGGCGTCTCGGTCTCCACCCTGCCTACAGTGCTGGGTATGTTCCTTTTTGATATTTCTGAGATTACTTTCGAAGCATGCCTTCTCCAGATGTTTTGCATCCACTCTTTCTCCATTATGGAGTCAGCTGTGTTGCTGGCCATGTCTGTGGACCGCTTTGTGGCCATCTACAGCCCACTACATTATACCACTATCCTGACACTGCCCCGTATCTTCAGCACAGGAACAGTCATTGGGTTGAAAAGCATTGTGCTCATGGCCCCATTGCCTATACTGTTGCGGAGACTGCCCTTCTGTGGCCATAATGCCCTCTCTCATTCCTACTGTCTCCATCCCAACCTTATCCATCTACCTTGTGGTGACATTTCTATCAACAATATCTATGGGCTGTTCATTGTTACCTCCACTTTTGGACTGGATTCACTGCTCATTGTGGTTTCCTATGGGCTTATACTCCACACTGTACTGGGCATTGCCGTTGGAGAGGGGCGCAAAAAGGCACTCAACACATGTGGCTCACATGTCTGTGCTGTGCTTGCTTACTACGTACCCATGATTGGCTTGTCTATGGTACATCGCTTTGGACACCATGTATCTCCTCTGCTGCAAACCATGATGGCCAATGCCTATCTCTTCTTCCCCCCTGTCGTCAACCCCATTGTCTATAGCATTAAGACCAAGGAGATCCACCGTGCTATAGTCCAAATGCTGTCAGAGAAGAGGCTCAGAGCTTAGTGTAATGTTAAAGCATAAAGTAGGGGTTATTTAGTCAGTTTCTATAACACAGGGCATCCCAGCTCAGTTATGTAATAGACATAAGCTTAAAACCCTGTGTCTAGGAGCTGGAGAGATAGCTCAGTAGTTAAGAGGATTTATTGCAAGAACACCAGTTTGGTTCCCCACACCTGCCTTAGGTAGCTCAGAACCACCTGCAACTCCAGCTCAAGGGGTATTTGACTCTTCTAGCCTCTGTGGGAACCTGCACTCACACACACACGTACACATAATTAAAATAAAAATAAATCTTAGAAGAAACAGTATCTAACTGGAAAGTGGCATGTTCTGGTAATGAGCTGGAGTGGAAATCAAGTAGACGTGGATTATGTGTGATCAGTCTATACACAGCATCAATAATATCCTATAGCAAGTTATGTGATATGCATGTTTTGCAAATCTGGAACAGAAAGTCAAGAAAGTTTTTTTTTAAAACCACTGCATTCATCATGAAAATGAAACATAGATCTGAGAGCTGCCTGAGAATCTATTGCTCTCCCGATGCTGAGGAGCAAGAAAATGGAGTTACAAGCTCCGGAATCCCTCAATTCCACACTAGGTGAAAGGTCCTTGAACTCCAGGTGGCTCAGAGGAAGTTCCCCATAAAGGATCTGATGTGTCATTTAGCCAACTGCACCAAGGCCCCAAATCAGGGTCCCTTAAAATTATAAAGCTTGCTCATTTTACGAACTTCTAAAGTTCTTCTACCCAGACACAGAAATTTTTCCAGGAGCTTTATATACATTGATGAGTTCTCTTTCATTGGATATTGCTCTTCAGATGCTTGGAATAATATGAAGAGTTTATAATCTTATTTTCATGGAAAGGAAGATTTTTGAGGTATAAATTTATAGTAATTATTTTAGTGATTCCTCACAATAAGCCTGAGTTAGCATTAAGAAGATTTTTATTCTCCAAACAAAAACCTGTCATTTCTACTTAGCAAGAATCTTCCTCCAATGTATAGATGCTAAAGCTACCATTGGAATCTAGCTGAGCAGATTCAAAACTATTGTGATTTCACGTACGCCAATTGAGCAAGAACTCAAGCACCTTGATCCTATTAAAATTCAGTAATCTAAAATATACTGAGCACAATTCTAGACCACAAATACTCTGATGGCAAGAGACAGGGCTCTTCCACTTGTGGAGCTGAGGAAGAATTTCTTTTTATTCCAATATTCCCCATTGCTCTGAAACTTTGAACTGCCTGGAACAAAGTTTGGAATCAATTTTTTAAAATATCTTTTAGTACCCAATATATAGGTAAACACAAACAAATAAGACCTTTGAGAATGGAGTTGAAGCATTTGAAATGTTTGTTTACACTTTGTACGGACAGTGATGAGTGACGGACAGTGATGAGTGACAGTGATGAGTGACAAGTTTCTTCTGCGACCTGACCTCCAATTTCCCACTTACCACATTTGTACAGATTCTGACCTGGGAATTTATAGATGTCTGAAAGTACAGCCTAGACTCATACCCAGTGATGGGCGGCGTAAGGAAAACAATGACTTAGAACAATAGGGAGAAATCAAGCAGGTTAACGGACAGGAAGGACCTTCCCATAGATAGCCAGACAAATGAGAAGGAGGTAACTTCCTGGGACAAGAAAAGAAGAGGAGATACCTTCAGAGAATCTGGAGAAAGTCAGTCCACAGCTGAAGAGGAAGAGAGGAGATGATGGTGTCAGGTTGTCAAACAAATTACCGTAAAATGGAAGTCTTCAAAACCCACATTTCTGAAGTTTGCATAGTGAAAATTCAGGTCCTGTAATATGGGTACTCCAATGTCTAAGAATGTTGAAATCTTGGAGATTTCATGTGTATATGAATGTCAAAAATATTTACTTTTAGTCTGTATTTCAGTATTTTTGGCTTATTACCCCAAATGTCAAAAGGCACTTTAGTTTATTATACTTCCTTTTAGGAAAATATTCATGCATACAGAACAAATTATGTGCACGTTGGGCCTTCAACGATATATAAAAAAAGAAAATTATACAATGAACATTTTAAAAGCTGCTAATTGCAGCGCCCTGGGGAGAAATACAGGCTAAGTAAAGTCACACAATGGCAAGGGATGTACCTCGGTTGTTAGCTTGCAGGAAGCCCTGGGTTGGATCCCTAGAACCTCATAAAACAGGATGTGGTAATGTGTATCTATAATGCCAGTGTTTGGGAGGTGGGGGCAGGAGAAAGAAGCTCAAGGTGATCCTCAGCAGCAAGTTTAAGACCAGGCCTGTGCAGAAAGAAAGAAAGGAAGGAAGGAAGAGAGGGAGGGAGGGAGGGAGGAGGAGGGAAAGGGGAGGGAGGGGAGAGGGAGAGGGACGGAAGGAGGGAAGGAGGGAAGGAGGGAACTGCAAGAAACTCAAGCATTTTCCCCTAGGTGACACTCTTCAAAGTGCTTTCATAACCAAGCAGAGAATCAGCCTCCCTGTGAAAGAAGTAAAGTCTGTACCACATGCATCACTTATTTCCTAGAGAGGTCTATGAGAGGGAAGACCAATTTCCCTTCTGTGCTGTTTTCCGTTGAAAACTGTATGTGCTGTCCTCTACTTAATTTTTAATATGTATGTATATCTTTGAGATCACATAGCCTGTATATGATAAGCTTTTTTTCAATGTTTGTTTTTATTGAATTTTTGCACGTTTCATACAAAACATCTTAATCATTTTTATAACCCTCCCCATCCATATCCCCCATTCCTCTAATAAGATTTTATGTCTGCTGAAATATATGCTAAGGCCTATCATGTATAAGCTTTGACATTTATTTATTATTTTACTTATTATTTTTTTTTTTTTG